CCCCCCAAACTGGTGGAACACCAGGGCCTGGTCGCAAATGCAACTGATGCAACCCTGGTATTTTTGCCAGTGCCGGTATCTGCATTTAGTATTGGGGCATTTTCACAAGTAAAAGTACTTGTGAAAATGCCCAGTATTGGCACTGGTGCATCCCTACTTACTAATATAATGTATTGCTGGGACTTGTAGTCCTGCATAGTTGGTGGTAGGGATGCACCGATATATCGGAGACTGATACATATCGGCCGAAAATAGCTCTTTGGGGAAATGCAGAAAAAACAAAAAATTTGCCGATAATGACCCACCTCCCGTGCCCGCCCACAGTACAAGCTTCAAACACTGGCCATCAATCTGAAGCCCCCACCACCTGCTGTGACTCTGCCCAGACACCACTCGGACTGACCTTACTCTTCTGTGTGAGCGGGCGAAAATCCTCCTTTCTGCAGGTATATCAATAATAATGGATGTCCACATTGAAACTGAGGAAGGGAGTGCGGGTTGTTGGTTGCTGTGCTTACATTCAGCTCCCGGCGGCATAATCTTGCAGCCAGCAGCTGTCTTTTACTTGGTTCTAGACGTCTGCTGCAATGCGGAGGTAACTCTGCTCCCCTACATCACCTCATTCCCAAGACCCCCCAATCACACCTCACCGTTCGCCAAGTACGATGGAGTGCCTTCTTCAGCCGCTTTAATTTCGTCATCACATATAGACCGGCTTCCCGTAACGGGAAGGCCGACTCATTGTCCCGTTGCAGCTGAGATCCACCGTCATAACCCGTCGGATCGTTACACCGTGTCCCACTGGCTGCTCCACTCCGCTGTCTTTGCTCGCTCCGCTTCCCAGTATAACATTTAAGGGAGGTAAGATCGTACTACAGTGACTGAAAACAATAGCCAACCTGCTATTGGCTGTTTCAAAATGCAATAGCCAATTGCAGGTTGGCTGTTGGACCCGCCCAGTGGGCGGGCCCAATAGACAACCTGCGATTGGCTATTGCATTTTGCAATAGCCAATCGCAGGTTGGCTATTGTTTTCAGTCACTGCAGTACGATCTTACCTCCGTTAAATGTTACACGGGGAAGCAGAGCGAGCAAAGGCAGCGGAGCGGCCAGCGGGAGAAGGTGGGGTTTCATTGGGGTGGTGACAGCTGTCAGGATGGAGAGAGGTACAAACACTCAGTGATTAGTGGTCGCTGAGGGTTTGTACATAATTGAGGACAGAGTATGATTACTGTATCCTCAATTATGAATGAATGGGAAGTGATCTACATCACCTCCTGTTCATTCATGATTGTGGTTATAGTAATCATACTCTGTCCTCATGTTATGAATGAGCAGGAGCACTCGTCGAGGATTCCTGTTCATTTATAACAGGAGCTGCAGAAAAAGAGATTGAGGACTCTGCGTGTGGTATTCTGCATTGCTGTATAATTATTATACAGCAATGCAGAATACAACTAGCTATGCTGGACTTCAAGTCCCAGCAATACATTCTAATGTAAATTATAATACCACCAGTTTCATACACACCCTGCGCGCCCCCTTCCCGATCTAGCCTTCACCCACACCAGACTCACCTGATTCTGCCTGTCGGTGCCTGCGATGTCGGTAGTGGGTTCACCAGGCAGACAGGTGACAGACACAGCCTCATCTCTATCCCTGCACAGCCTGTCAGTACATTCTACTGCTGTGGGTGGCAGAGCGGCAGGGGAGCGAGCGGCGCTATCTTTGGGGGTGCATGAGGGAAGGGCAAGCCCTCTGCTTCCTCTCTGGGCCCTCCCCGAACAGGCGGAATGCCAGGGCCCGGTCGCAATTGGTAGTTCCGCTAGTGGTCAGGAGGGAGTAATATGATCTCTGTAAAAAGCAATTAAGGCACTTTCACCTTAGTAGAAAATATATCTAAAGGAAGGTTCACTTTAAATATACAAGTTCCGTGGCAGGGGCAAAAACTATCATAAAAATAAAAATGATATTTGCCTGACAGCCATAGTAATCTTTTGACTTCAGTACTTACTCACAAGCCCAGAACAAGCCAGTTCTGACTTCACTTGCATCATACATCACATTCAATGCCTGTTTTAGGCTTGTGACTAGTTTTTTAGTTTTTTCTTCTTCACATTTTTATTGAGACAGATTTCTTGTAGTTGTGGTTCCCAAGTATTTTAAACAGATAAAAACACCATTTAAAATTAAGCCCATTATGTGGAATAACGCAATTAATACCATCGAAAGAAACTGTTCTGCAGTGGAAGGAAATATTGCATCTTTTTATGATCTGTGCTTTTAATGAGTGCACCTGAAGTCAGGTGTAATCCTGCTTGCATGTCATTTTAGTTTTCCTACTGAATATAGGTTTTTCTTTAACATACAAATTCTGACCACCTCCTAAGCTGGAGAGTTTGGCCCCCGTTTGGCCCTGCCTCTTCTTCCCCGGGCTCTGGTGGTCTAAGGATCTCTGACATCATCACATCTAATGCAGGTCCACTGACTTGCATTAGACGTGGCGATGCCAGGGGACATTACACATCTGGATCATAGGGGGAGAGACATGAGTGCCGACTGCCATGGGTCCAAGAATCAAGTGAGTATATCTCCTTTATTTGAGCGCCCTAGACAAAATGAGGACTTAAACCTTGCTGTGCAGGGGTAGCCCACTAATGTAAAGCTACGTTTTTTAAATTGCCTAAAATTATTCTTTAAACTTCCAATTTCTTTTAGTTCTGTACACAGTAGATAAGGGTTAGATCTTAAGTGGTTATTGATGTCTGTGTCTCCTTGTTGGAGTAATTAAACTTCACTTCCTGTCCTGGTGGCAAGGTGTGACAAGAAGTGATGAAGTGTTTTTCTGATGGAGACAGAGACACCATCAAAGTTAATTTATTTAGTTTACATATGTGGGAGTTTTATTACTCTCTGTGCCTTCTTGTCCAATGATACCTGCACCTTCTCCTTTCTTGCCATGGTCTCATCGGGGCAGTAAGTAAGGGAAAATCTTCTTTATGAGGACATAGACAGTTGGGCTGTATTGCCACAATGAGTGTGAGTGAATGCCCTGCATACTCTTTTTTCATATGGGAACTGCAAGATGTTTACACATCCTCATTGTAAACTCCAGTTCCAGTTATGATGATTGCACAGGTAATTCTTTTAAAACATCATAAATGTGTATACTCCTGTAGTCCCTAAAAGTGATGAGATTTGGGGAGAATATCATCCAACTATAGCCAGAGTGTGACCACTATATATGAACAAATATATACTGCATAAACATACATCACCCTATATCTGCTGCGTTTTACATATCACAAAAATAAATATGAATAGAAATAGGAATGCTGTGAGCCACTCAGTCCATTTACAGTTCCTGCCCTAAATAAATATATAGTAAAGCCTTTTATCCCATAGCCTAATCCTGTTATATTGTAAAAGATCTAAAACTTTGCAAAAGGAATTTCATTTAAGCAGTTTCAATTGTATAATGCTGGCTCTTGAATAAGGCAAAGCAGTTTATCGGAATATGAAATGCTGCAGTGTAAAATACTCGGTTATACTTTCCTGTCTTATGGAGGTACATGCCGATACTACAGAATGACTAGAAGATCCTTTACTAGGTAGAAAGAAAAACAAATTGCTCTTACTTTCCCCTTGTTGTTTCAAAGCTGGGTTTCTGGCTGTTACTCTTGTAGTAGTTCTGCCTTGGGGAACGGTTCGTTCCTGGTTGGACATTCTCTGTTTGTGGTGGTGCCTTCTTTGTGGCCATCAACTGTTCATCATTGACCTTAGTGGCTTCTTCTCTCGTAACCTCTGTAGGTGGTGGTGCTCTAACAGGCATTCTTATAATCTTTTCAAACATTTTGTATTCTTTCCTCCTGGCTTTTGGTAAAATAGCTGTTGTAGACGTTGAAGATTGCAGAGCTGTGGCTTCATCTTGAAATTGTGTGGTTTTTATTTCTTCTGGACTTTGCGTGTTAGGAATAGATATTTGAGGATTAAGCTCAAAAAGTAACCTCCGTACATTAGTATCCTCTGGTTCTGTCCAAGTGTCCTCAGTAACAGTTATGAAATCCCCTGTTTTGCATCCATCAATATGCAGAAATATAGCCAAAAGCAATATTAATTCCATCCTGAAGATTAAGCAGCAAGAGATCCTACTTTGCCTCTGGTACTGCTCTTGTATGTTTATGTTCTCATTAATTTTGTTCTCTCTCTCTCACCGTGTTTGAAATTTGCATGCCAGTTAGCGTTCAGGATAAAAAGGAAACAGGTTGTAACTTGTTATTTAAGGGGTTGAGGAAGCTTAGCTTCCTCTTACTGTGAAATCCTCTGGACCCTTCACCTCTTTGACTACAGCTATATGGAAGCCATGAGGAAAGATTGCTGGGAAAAGGAAATAATGACAGAAGTGAAAGTGGAACATTATTGGCCTGTGTACAAGAAGCTGTCAAATCAACAACAACCTGCAAACAGAATTCACTATTAGAAAAACCTAAGGTAAATGTTAAAATGGCTAAAGAGCCAGAGGGCATGCACTGGAATGTCCAGCGCATAGGACAGCTTTCATGTTAACTTGAGAATTAGCAACATATAAGGACAATCTGTTACTTTTTCACCTCCTACCTTTGTGACATTTCTCTAGTGTTTCCAGGTATTACCAGAACTCGATGCACAGAATTTGTGAACATGATAATTAATCCAGAAACATTTATTTAGTAACGGTGGAGCCTCTTTTTCAGCTCCTTTCTTTCATTTGTCACATGATATAATTAAAATCATGAGAATCCATTTTAAGCCACATAGCATTTTCTAGTAGTCCTGCTTTTTACTTCATTCAGTTGTATAAGTTACATAATGAGGTCTTTTAACTTCAGAAGTGCTCCTTTCTGTCTCTGTTAGTACTCAGTAGGAATGGGCTTTGGGTTCGGGTCAAACTCACACTCAATTTATTCACAGTTCAAAATAAAATGACAAACTAAAGTGATTGTTTGCAGCCAAAGCAACCAATAACTAACCCTGCACTTGCTAACCTCTAAACTTAACATGTGTGGTGGTTTTTGTGCATAGGTGCACCAGATGGCGTTTGTTAGCGGCCTATTAGATGTCTAATGTCACCTTTTCACTTCAATAAAGCTTATCTTTCCCAACCTCTGCGGGGTAATGACAGCTCAGAAACCAAAAAAGTGACTAAATAGTCATCGGTGCTGGGTTCATTCTGCAGGAAGGAGATCAGTGAACAGATGTTCGCTGGTCTCCCTCCCCGCTCTCGGCTGAGACCCACCATGCCGTTCCCTAGCCCATGGTGGGTCTTGGCTGACAGGAGGGAGAGCGTAGCCTGGGAAACAAGACAGGGGGATTGGGCAGGGGGGCCTACATTTGGCAGCCTGACAAGCGACATTACACATTTAAGCAAACTCTGATTACAGGGCTTTGCTGCATATGTATGGCATGCATAGATGCCAGTACAATGGTTAAAGGATGTGCACATTCTCACTACAATATTTTTTTTTTCAGTGAAATACACGATGTTAATTTTTAAAAGAAAAAAATGGTTTGGTTGGGTCCTGTTAAAAACGGGGCATACTTAAATAGATGGAGTCAGTACAATATTTTTTCCTTTTTGCTGTGAAATAAAACACTCTAATTAGATTTTCTAATATATTTTGTTTTATTATAAACCTGCTTATTGTCTCCCTCTGAAACTTTGGTGCTTACATACTGTGGAGCGAGCCTGCACAATATTCTACATATTGTCTTTGAAGTAATCAACTGTAATTTTTATTATGATTTGTAATTCATTTTATGTTATCTATATAATTGTATTTTTTTTTATTTTAACGTTTATATTTGTGGTAATTAAAACACATCAGGCAGTTATTGCTGACAGTCTAGTCAAGATCCACCCTTATTGTCCCGGTAAATCACTGAATCCTGACCCCCCCCCCTTTAAAAAAAAAACCCAAAACTAAAAACACTCTGCACCCAGATAAACCACACAGTCTCATACCATGTTATTTAAATACAGCTTCTCAGTCATAAATTCATAAATTCTGTGGGATGTGGTCCCTGCCGCTGGGTGGTCCAGCGATACATTAGCCCTGCACATGCTGGTGAAGGGCATGCATGGACCTTTGGGCAAAAATTGGTTGCTGGATACCTGTCACTATGGTGCAGCACAGGCCATAAACAGATGGAAGGAGATTGACTCCACAGGCAGGAATTAAAGCAACTGTAAAGTCAGCAGTTATGGCCAAGCTGGCATTGAGACACCAGGGGACATTTTTTCTGTAGCTGTCGAAAAGATGGGACAATTGGTGGAAACACCTACAAGGCAAAATGCTTTATTACATTTATTAATTACAAACAACACAGAGCTGATTACAGATGTGGAAATCGGGAACAACCTAAGGAAACAGTGACCACAGCATGAGAAGGTTTACAGTTAATTCCAGGAAACGTAGACATGTCGCCACAACACGAACACTCAATTTTAGGAAGGCTTACTTCAATAAGCTGAGAAACCTACTAGGAGAGATACATTAGAATACACTCTTGCTTAACACAAACACTGAAGAAAAATAGGACAGATTCATAATTTATCTTAAATAACAAAATTGCCTAGTGCATTCCATTTACCAAAAAATTCAAAAGAACGAAGGTTAGACCTGGGTGGTTAACTAGTAAGGTAAAGCAACACATAAGGAAAAGGCTTTCAGAAAATATAAGTCAGTGGGGTCACCATTGGCATTGAAAAACTACAAAGATTACAACATTTGATCTTAAAAAGCAATTAGGGCGGCAAAAATAGATTACGAGGAACAGTTAGCAACAGATAGCAAAAGGAACACCAAGAAATTCTTTAAATATATAAATAGAAAGAAGATAAGGACAGAACATGTAGGCCCCATATAGGGGCCCCCATAAAGGGCCTACATGTTCCCATGACCCATGGGCCCATGACGAGGGAAGGTTGGCTACCAGTGACAGGGAAAAAGCGAATGCGTTAAATAAATTATTTTCTTCTGTCTTTACAGAAGAGACAGACGTGGGCATCGATCAGGGCATCTGCAGCAGAGATAGTAGTACCAGCATTAATGTATCTGAGTGGCTGTCGGAGAGCAGAGTAATACAGAGACTAGAAAAATTAAATGTAAACAAATTTCCAGGACCTGACGGGTTACATCCGAGAGTACTAAAGGAACTTAGCCAGGTCATAGCCAGACCCTGGTACATAATTATTTATGGACAGTATTATGACAGGTATGGTCCCGGCTGATTGGCGGAATACAAATGCGATACCAGTATACAAAAAGGGGAAAAGAAGTTTTCGGCTTACTACAGGCCTGTCAGCTTAAAGTCAATAGTGTGCAAAATATTTGAAGGCATGATAAGAGAATACATGCAGGAATTTGCAAATACAACTAGTATCATAAGTGGTAACCAACATGGTTTTATGAAAGACCGTTCTTGCCAGACCAATCTATTAACATTCTATGAGGAAGTCAGCATGTATTTAGACAGAGGAATACCAGTGGCTTTGCTAAAGCATTCGACACAGTACGCCACAAACATTTACTTCATAAACTAAGGTCTATCGGGTTGGATAAAATTGAATGTACATGGGTGGGAAATTGGCTACAAGAACAGATCCAGAGGGTAGTAATAAATGGGTTATTTTCTAATCAGGCAAAGGTTGTGAGTGGGGTACCCCAGGGTTCCGTCTGGGGACCGATCCTGTTCATCTTATTTATCCACGACATAGAGATTGGACTAAAAAGTTTGATTTACATTTTTGCGGACGATACAAAACTATGTGGGGTAGTAAATTCCGAACAGGAGATAACTGCACTTCAACAGGACCTTAATAAACTCGAGGCATGGGCTACAAGATGGCAAATGCAATTTAATGTTGAAAAATGTAAGGTTATGCACATGGGAGCAAAGAACCTGTGCGCAAACCACTACTTGGGGGTGTCAGAGCACAATAACAACCAGACAAGCAAAAGGTGCTAGTTAAAATATTTATTAAGAGCAGCGTCCACAGGAGCAAGCAGAATCACAAACCGGAACAAGCCAGAGTCAGGAGCCGGAGTGGTTAGTTGTCAAAGCCAGGTTAGGAACACAGAGATCAGCGTTGTCAGGAACAAGCCAGGAGCAGGAACCAGAGGAGAACATCAGCCAGGATCGGGTCAAGCAGAGAATCAGAAAACTCAGATCAGCAGGAATGCACTAGAAAGAAGACCACGCAAGGGCAAGGTCAGACTGGACTGAGTGGTTTATATATAGTGAGTGGGATGACTTCATCACTCAGAGACAGTAAACTCCCATCTGACTCTCTCAGATGATGCTCTCCTGTCTGGCCATAAGATGGAGCCTGGGAGTAGTGAGCAACATTCCAGAGTCTGCTCAGGCAGAGAAGGAAACACAGGTGAGTAAAATGGCAGCCAAGCCAGAATGCTGCAACCAGTAAAGTCAGGGTGGAACCCTGTCAGGGAGGTGCTACATTAGGGAAGTCAGGCATGGAAAAAGACCTGGGGGTGCTCCCCACATAGATCTGAAAATATTGCTTTATCCATTTTTTAAAATTAAAAATCATTTAAAGAAGAGTTTTCATAAAAATAATATAACATATAATTTCTACACAAGACATTTTGCAATTTACATTTTAGCCTGCAGTCTCAGTCATTTTGTAATTAGTTAAGCAGAACAGAAATATTAAATGTTGCTCTTTCTCATTATGGCAATGTGGGGTATCCTATACACCATTGCTGTACAGGACTCCCACATGAAATCTAATTTCCTGGTATTGGGACTGGCTCACTGCATTTAACAGAAGTCTTTTGTGAGGTACAAGTTGTCTTCATGCATTCCCTACAAACAGAGTTTAATATTGGTGAGATACTCTCTAAGGCTCATTATCGCCTAAAGGTATGCAGACACTGCAGCTTTCCTCATTACAATTCTGAAATTGTACCAGTAGTTAAAATTAAGGCTGACCCTCCCATTTAGAATTCAGCCTAAGAAAGTACATATTGAAACAAATCTGAAATTTGATAGTCAGCTAAAAACTAGGGATGTTCAGATAACAGTTCAGATACCAGTGCAGATACTTGGCATTTTCACGAGAACTACCAGTGTCGCAGAAGTTGCAGCTGTGACAGGGCTCTAGTGCTCCACCACTGTCCTGAAATTATTG